CCCCCCCCCCCCCCCAACTCAAACAGCTCAGCTCACGGACAATTCAATTTACTCAATCATTTCCGTTTGTTAGTAGCGTTCTGCCGTTCAAGCTATTCTGTTGTGTGTTCGTCAACTTGACTACGCATCAAAGCGGAGGCATAATTTGAGGTTTTTTAATCGCGCTTGAAAATGCAGATAAAATACCTTTTTCAGTTAACCCTTCAAAGACCGCTTTGGTCGTTTTCGTCCCATGGATCGATGCACATTTTCCTTTCTGAACCCATTTAGCTTTCATTTCAAGCGTTTAATCCAGAGGAAGGGCAAACATGGGAAGTTTTGTTAGAGGCTAGGTTTATTGCAAGTTTATTTTGTAAGAAAAAGCTTTTATTGAAAAAATTCATTGTAAAATAATGCTAGCGTATAATTAAGTTTCTTTGCGAATTTACAGCTCACGGTATATGGGCTATCTATATACATATATAGATATATATAACTTCCTTATATAATAATCCATAAGCGACATCGCCTTTTCATAACTTGAAAAAATAGAATTTTTGTCAATTATTTAAACAAGTTTTTCCACCAGGATCTCCTTTATTTTGCGCTAACAATATTTGCTTGTTATACAGAATTACACTGATTCAATTGCTCTCTAAGGTTTCTTTTCTTATCCTGAGGCCATTGAATCATGGTGCCTTATATATTTCAATTAAGACATGTCTTAGTTTATACTGTATGCATTTTCCACGTTCAATATCAATATACAACACCAATGTTAACTTCCTCCGGGAAGTGTTTTATAGCAGGACAAGTTCAGATCGTAAGCATTTAGTAAGCATGTCATTTTCTTGTCAAGAAGGCAGTGTTTTACAAATAAAAGCAGGCCACCAAGCTAGGGCATCTAAACATAACACCCAAAATTTAATGTTAAGAATGAATTTCTTTTTAAAGAATATAGGTTGTGAGATTCGCGATAGTCTACCGCTAGATTCCTTACATTTTGAGCCCTTCGCTGCGCGTTTTATTTCTATTTAATTATTAACCGCACGCAAAAAGATACTGCTGGTTTTTTTTGAAGCCTCGTTGACAGGAAATTGCCATAAGTCCTAATACATAGAAGACCTGTGTTATTAATCAGTTTTCGAGGTTTTCTCTTGAATTTTCCATGACTGTGAGACCGCAATAGACATGTGGTTCTCGAGAGCCTGGACTCTAGTTCAAATTCGGTGGAGATGAGAAGCGACAAGGGGAAATACGTCTGTGTTTGTTGGCTAGACCTGTCGGCGTGGATGCAAATTCCTACCCAACGATCTTTATTTTATCACTTTGCTTGGCTCAAAAAAAAATTCGAATTTTACAGTTCCCACTTGTCTGGTTCCTAAATATATAACAGTTATTCACCGAAGTGGAGGTGGCTATATGATATTAGTATTTATTATATGGAGGAGAGTGTTTTACTGAGAACTAAACCACTCGTAGATTCCATACGCCACTTCATCCGGGACCCGAATGGCGTATTTTCCGTATGTCACCTTTGTGAGTGTCGTATCGTTCAATGACGTCACGATTCCCGCCTTTTGCTTTTGTTAAATTGGTTTCTCCATATAATAAAAAGAACATTACGCGTTGGCTCGAAGATATGAATTTTATGTTCTCGTGGCAAGAACAATATTTCACTCGTTCGCTTCGCTCACTCGTGAGATATTGTTCTTGCCACTCGAACATAAAATTCATATCTTCTCGCCACCGTGTAATATCCTCTATATACACACTCAGTGATCTTGGTGATTTAAGCAAACTGATTGGTTCGCTATCTCGGACTATTCAACAACATTCACCTCCTAGCGAGTGGATAATGTGTGAGCTCGGTTTTTTTTCCCATTTTCTTAGAGAAAGATCTTTTAAAAGTCGACAAAATCCTAGGGTTGACTTTTTTTCAGTCAAGAAAAGACTTCGAAGGAACAAAACGGCCATTTACTGTTGTTGAGTTTTGTGGTAGATGGATTCAGTTTACAACTCCCGTTTATTCGCCTAGAAGAGGCCGTTTCGTGAACTCAGTGTTTCCTAACAAGAAAAATTTGGCCCAGAAACGAAGTTTATTTATGACAAACAAATTTGAAAGCAAATGTTTGCAGAAATTCTACGTTTCAAGTAAACACGAGAAAGAATGCTACATGAAGACGACGTCTTACCTCGAGCAACCGGATCGCCATTTTTGTCGGCACTTCATGCGAAGAATGACACCACAAACCTTTTCGGTTATAAACTTGGCGAGTCAACAGAAAACAACAAAGCTCTTCTTTTCTTCTCAGGTAAGGAAAAAATTCAAACTTTTAGCGGTTCCATTTAAGTCATTACGCTGTTGTTTGCGAAGTGATAAGCTTGTGAATTGCCATGTTTGAAAATTCTACAAAGATCTATTTTTAAACTGTCGCGTGTCTAGCTGACCTGATATATACTAAAACAATTATTCTTTTCAATCTCGGTGAATAGTGGCTTTAGGAATATTTACCTCGCCACTTCGTGGCTCGGTAAATATTTTGCCACTATTCACCTCGATTTCAAAGAATAATTGTTAAATATTGCCTGATTACGATGTCCGCCCAAGAAAATGGCGAGGGCCGTTCTTCGATAAAAGTCGATAAAATAAAAAAAGTTATTTTATTTCTTACCCAACACAGGCATCACGATAAATGAGGCATCGCTAAACACTAGTTCGACTGTCATCTTTAATTTGGCTGGCTGTGTTTTCTTCCGCGTTCAGTGCGGGAAGCAAAAACGCGGTGATGACAAAATTATTCAATGAGTAACTTGGTGATCATTGTAAAAGGGTCAGAACGCACTGCATGAGAAGCCAATGGAAAACTCATAGAACTGAAATTGCGATTTCTTTGCAGCTCTAGTTTGTTACCGATCATGACTTTGTGACGCTGCCTTTAATACTTTTATTGCACGTGGGCGAAATCAAGAACACGCGCCAAATAATCCTATTAATAGTCAGACGGTCCTTTCCCTTGTTTGGCCTTTGAGGCACTCTTGTTTCTGGGGAAACCCCCGATCGAACTCATTTCAGGGCGGCGAAATAATTAGGATTCGCGATTACGTTTTTAGTTTAGCATGACAGAGATTACAGCGAACCAGTGATTCAACCTTTGTTAGGACAACATAAAAGAAGTCAAATTCTCGTAAACAATTAAAAAAAACAGAAGTCAATACACAGGAATTAATATAGGAAACAAGCCGGCCTTGACCAAAAACAACATTTGCTCAAGCAAAATGAAGAATCCCCCAAAACGACCACAACATAATCCATCCGCTTTGGACGCTTTGGCTAGGAAGAAAAAAACTGAGCAAACGGCTTTTAAGGTAAAAATGCAGAAAACACCGTTGTTGGTTACGAGTCAGTGAACACCGTGTGAACAGCAAGCAAAAAGTAGAAAAATTTAGATTCTTTAATTACGAAATTAATACCAGCTAGGTAAAAGTTACAGGGTACGGTGACTGGGGATATAGTGCGATTAGACACAGTCATTTCAGTATATATTTACTATGCGCAAAAGTCAAAAAAAGCCTTTTCTCCCTAACACACAGTATTTGCGTGGGTGGACTTAAAATCCTTGTTTCATTTGAACTGTTTCAGGAAATAGCATGAATTATTGGCTGTATTGAGCCGAGCCAGGGCTTATTACAAACCGTACCCTGTTTCAGAAGAATTTAAGAACAAAATGTCAGCACTTGAGCGAAGTAAATTCCCACAAAGTGTCAAATGATCGAGCTGGAATTTATCAACATTGTGAAAATTAGCTTTGAATATGCTAGCGTCACATCAGAGCCACCCTGTCAACAGGTCCAACAGAGCCTTTCTTTCACTTGCTCGATTTTGCTGTACTGGACAAAGCCTCGGCATGAATCGAGTAAAATCTTTGTTGAGCATGTGCTGCATTTTGCTAGGATACAGTTTCGAATCCAGACCTAATAGCCGTGCGGTTGGTACAGCGGGCTCAGTTCTGATCATCGGTTTATCAAGAAAAAACCAGTTTGACGCGAGAAAACAAGATTGACTAGTCCAAAAGTTCGGGCTGGGCGATTTCAAAGGTTTAACATCCATGTGATTCAGGCAGGGACTCCTTTTGTTCTCCTCAGTCAAGAAAACAAAAGAAGGCTCTCGCAGGGTGCATCTGAGCGCTCGTTCAACAATTCTCTCTTGACTATTTTTTTTTTCTTCTCTCTTTCTCAGAAGCCTCTACATTCTTAGTTCTTGCCAGTCTATCTCTCTAGGCACAATGTATAAAGTATGTGTATAACAGTTCTGCTTTAAAAGTAGACAATACATCACTATGGAATGGGGAGTTATTGGCAATAGATCACTATAGCACGGGTATTTATTGGGATCCCGTCAACACTAATGGTTTGTTTAAAAATGAATATTCATTTGCCGTTTTTTGTTTTTTGCGTCTAGGGTGGCTGGAACATTAAACGTCTTTTGTTGTTGTTTCTTTAATTTCAATTTCAATGATTTAAAAAACCCAGGTAATAAGGCAACATAACGAGTTTTTACTTCACAAGTGTTTTTGTGCAGTATGCATTAGAAGTAAGGTAATTCACAAAATGCTTATACACTCCCCTTACAATAGTTTTGCCGGTGGTATTGATAATCATTGATTATTGGTGACTACCACACGGTCCCCTCTCCGCTCGTGAAGGAGATGTTTATAAGGTCAGTACTTACATACAGAAAGAATTAAAGAAGGTAGCGCTTTATAACCTTCATAATGATTGTATGTTGGCCAGGTGACTGTTTCCAGTCACTAAAGATGAAGCCGCAAGGAGTACCTTAGGACCGATCCGTAGCCCGTTGTTTAAATGATTCCCCGTCTGTGAGAACCAACAGAAAAAAAGATTTTTTTCTAACCTGAAAGGGATTGATGCAACCCTTCGCAAGGCTCCTCAACATGTTTTGCAAGGCGCAGTTTCTTGGTGCTTCGCCAATAATCTATTGATGAACCAGGACAAATATGTTCTGCTTTTTCGGTCACTCACAAATGCTAACAACAGCGAGGGTCCTCAAAAGGTTTTTCAGGATCCGGGATTTCCCTTATTTGAAGCTCGGGATTCGGGATTTCAAAGTAAAATCGGGAGGAGTTTGGGATTAAAAGTATGCCAGGAAGGTGAGATTCCAAAAATAACCCTCGGGATTACGGGATTGCACGAAATTTTGGGTCGGGATTACGGGATTTAAGAACCCTACTGGGGACCCTCAACAACGCTACTAACCTCATTCGTTGATTCCCGTAGGTAGGGGTGATAGGGTTCTGCCGATATCATGACTGTTAAGAATACATAACTTACAGGCTGCTCAGTTGTGTAAACAAAGCGAAAAGGGAGATTCTGGAAACCCCGGCTTAGACCCACACCCTCCACTAACACTCTAAAGACACCGTGACAGTGAAGGAGTTAGTTCTAACAGGAAGTACAAATCGACGAGTAGATGCGATTAATAGACTGAAGTAAATACCTGACGTTTAGTGCAAGTTCATTTTGTAAGAAAAAGTTTTTATTGAAGACAATTCAAATCAGTGTAAAATAATGATAGCGTATACGTTTGTTTGCAAATTTACAACTTGGTATATGGGCATCTGTCCGCCAAAACGAAAAAGATAACTTCTTTATAATCCATGAGCGACATCGGTTTTTCGTTACCTTAAAAACTAGAACTGTTGCCAATTATTTTAACAAGTTTTTCCCACTAGATTCTCCTTTACATTGCGCTAACAATATTTGCTTGTTATACAGAATTACAGGGATTCATTTGAACTCTAAGTTTTTTCTTATCTTGAGACCATCGGATCATTGTGCCTTTTTATATATTTCAATTCAGGCATGTCTTAGTTTATACTGTATGCATTTTCCACGTACAACATCAATATATACAACACCAATGTTAACTTCTTCCGGGAAGTGTTGTATACGGGGCCAAGTTCAATCGTAAGCATCTAAGCATGTCCCCTAAAACGGAAATATGTCAAGAATTAAACTCATTTTATTGTCAAGAAGGCGTTACATAAAGGGTATTGTTTTACAAAAGCGGAACAAGCTCAATCGTTGGCATCTAGCATATAACATTCGAGACTCGCCTACCGCTAGATTCCATACATTTTGAGCACTCCGTGGCGCGTTTTATTTTATATCAGTAACAGCAAAAATATATTAGATAACCGCTGCTGGTATTTTAAAGCCTTATCGACAGCAAGTTTTTCACCGTGATCGATGTCATTTACGTCTAAGCCCCCACAGAGTTTTCTTTTTTTATCAGAAGCCCCGATCCATAAAAGATATCTGCGTTGCTTATTAGTTTTCAAGGTTTTCTCTTCAATTTTCTATGACCACGAGACCGTGATAGACATGTGGTTCTCGAGAGCCTAGACTCTAGCTCAAATTTGGACCTGTCGCCGGTTTCTGTACTGGAGTGGACGGTCATTCTGACCCTGGAAAAGATCTTTTTAACCTTGCTTAGCTAAAAAAGAATTATAAAATTTAACAGTTCCCTCCTGTCTGGTTCCTAAATACACCATATATAATATTACCAGAACATCACTATTTCATAACAATCACTAGTCTCTGCCAAAGAATTAGTGACGAGGGCCGTTCCTCATTAAAACTCAATAAATTAAAAAAGGTTATTTCATTTCTTAACCAACACAGTCGTTCATCGTGTTGTTCTGGCCGACGGCGACGGGCGAACCCACTTGGCCTGCCTACATTTCGATTCATAATATTAATCCTCCTATCCCGATTCGCTCCTGGTTCTATCGGTTCTGTCAGTTCTCTGTTCGCTCTCAGCTGTTCTTCTGTCGCTGCACCCTCCAAGGGGTGGTAGGCTCTTAGGCCACAGCATACTGTCGGAGCCTGGTAGATCTTGATCACACAGTACAGAACAACAAGCATCACGATAAATGAGACAACGCTTAACACCAATTCGACCGTCATCTTTTGGCTGGCTTTGTTTTGTTCCGTATTCAGTGAAGCAACAGCACGGTGATGAAGATAAAAAAAATTTAAGGAGTGACTTGGTGATTTGTTTAAGAGTCTGAATGCACTGCATGAGAAGCCAGCAGAAATCTCATAGATTTGATCTTGCGATTTTCTTTGCAGCACTTGTTTAAATTATTGACTTTGTGACCCTACCTTTAATATTTTTAGTGCGCGTTGATGAAAACAAGCCCACGCGCCACTCCTTTTCTTTGTTAATAGTCAAGTGATACTTTCCCTTTGGCGTTGTTTCGCATGACCGGCTCTATTGCGTCAAAACCCGCTCTGAGGTAGCCTCCCCGCAGACGTCCTTTGGGGTTCGTTTGTCACGCATTCATTTCTCCCCCAGGTTGGCATTAGATAACATCGAGTGAAACCAGATTGGACACCTTATGAATTTTACACAACGCATTATTTTCATAATGGAACGAGGCTGGAATGTAGAATGAGGCTAGAATAGCTGAAGAAACCAAAATTACAGAGCTCCAGTTATGGAGAGAACACAGTAGAGAGTTAAGCACTGATCTGCAGTGATTAGGGTTAAGCACTGAACTGAAAACGGTTAGCTTTCCAATATTGTAATGGGGTACGGCATATATAAGGACATGTACATTTTAAAAATTACTGGATTTGGCAGCTAGTCCTCGATGGGGTAGTGGATATGGATGTAGGCTATAAAGCAAGTGACCCGGGTTCAAAGCATCACAGTGGAGTTTTTCTAGTTCACTTTTATATTACACAGTAAAGTTGGACTTGAGTTGTTCTTCATGTAATTTTACTGAAAGAAACAATCTGACTTCAGCCGATGTTACCTAATGCTAACCTCTCCCCCACGGGGAGAAATGAATGCGTGATAAACGAACCCTAAAGGACTCTGCGGGGAGGCTAGCTCTGGGGTATTCTCAGGTATTCCGTCATAATTCAGCCGTTGTCAGGGCAACTAGAAAAAGTGAGCTGGAATCGTTGCCTTTCAACCTTAACATGCGTCATAATTCAGCCGTTGTCAGGGCAACTAAAAAAAGTGAGCTGGTATCGTTGCCTTTCCTGCTATCAAGCGTGACGTCAACTGCTTCAGAGGTCATTATGGTCAAATTCTCGGAAAAAAAGAAAATAAACAAAATCCACAGGACGACGATTAGCCTCCCGTAGGGCAGAAACGCGTGACGAACCCCAAAGAACGTTAGACAACGAGCAGTCTCTCTTTTTTCTGTAGACCGTCGAGCAAAACGAGAGACACGCAAATGGCTTCATCGCTCGACTCTCACGTGCGTGTGCACTCCCCTCACTAAATCTGAAGAAAAAGAGAGACTGCTCGCAGTCTACCAGAACGTCTGCGTGGGAGGCTACTAAAGGATTTCTTTCCACAGCGAAGGCTGTGCTTCGATAATATATTTTCCATTTTGGCGTATGGGCTCTTTTTAGGTAGAGCGCGGATGGAGTACTGCGTGACAAAAGCCGGCAATGTTGTTTGCTCTGTCTCTTTCTTATAAAGCCAAATTCGTGTCGGTGAAAAGATAGTACTTTTTCGATCTTTTTCCCGTTCTGAAGGGTAGAACAAGACGTGCTGAGATATATTTTCCTAAAAATGACTTTCGAGGATTTGGTTTTACTGTAAATCGTATGGCTCGGTGACTTGAGGCCATTTAATTTGAATAAATTTGCTAAATCGGCGCTCCGATGGCAAAACAACAGTGACGTCTCTGTATGTATCCTGATAGCACATGGGCGACACTTTATGGTCCTCATACATGTTTCCCTGCTAGCAGAGGTCTCTCACGACGAGGCAAAGGTTTTTGAGGGATCTCCAAGTGTTTTGCCCGCTTATTTTAAAATCTAAACCACACAAAAGGCATCTACCGTCTTTTCCAGACCCAACTGATTTAATGGGCGTCCGAGGTGACACGCTTTCCCCAAATTTGCGAGATTGTTGAGTTCTCGGCATCGTTTCACATTGCGAAGAATTCTCCACAACATACCCGCGCCTTCAGCTGAAGTTTCGCGCGCAAACCGGTTCTGTGGGTTGTGTCGCACGTGAAAAAAACCTCACCGGTTGTTAAGGAAACGCCAGCGCATGCGAGGTAGGAAACGCGTCGGAAGCCGACAGAGGTCTCTCTCCTTTCTCTCTTTTTTGCCTCGTCTTGAGAGACCTCTGCTAGCAGGGAACATACATGTAGGAAATGTAAGTATAATCTATAGACTTAGCCAGGGCTAAAAGCGTAGCTGTTGTTGACATACTTATAGTTTCCTCAAACAAAAACTAAAATCGTTTAATGATAAAAGGTGGCAGCAACGAGAACAGCAAAAAATGGGTAGGTCTAATTAGCAAAAAAAAAATGCAGGTTGAGCCACAGGCGGCCCAGACGTGTCAATATATTTATGGGATGAGTCGTCGAAACTCCTATAAACTAAAATAGTCCAAAAGTCAAAATATAACAAAATAAAGTTATAAGATACCTTTTAACTGAACGTCTCCTTGTCTTTCCTGGCTGGTTAAAGTGGCATTTTTTTGAGTTTTGCAATCGTAGGTACTAGTACCTACGATTTTGTACTAGTACCTACGATTTTGGACTATTTTAGTTCATGGGTGTTTCGACGACTCATCCCATTTTGTCCATGTGAATTTTAATATATTGACACAAACTACGTCTGGGAGGCCCGTGGTTCAGCCCACTTTTTTCATTTGTACATTAATTCTTTCTCGTTGTTTTGCACGACTACAACGTGAAACTTCCTAGTTACACTTTATATGGAGGAAATGTCGTATGTGTTACTGGTCGATTTTTTTTTTCACTGCCGCGAAGTTATTTTCACCCTGGTGGCTGCTAGCATTTCTCATTTTCTCACCACCGCTATAAAATTTTCTTGCCTTTCTTGCATCGAAATTCGTCTCCTTTGCTTTTTATCTCTCCCTCTAGCCCTTTCTCTGTTATGCAGGTCAATGTAGACATTAAAATTTAGGCGGAAAAAAACACTAAAACTAGGCTTTGTTGTTTTACTTTCTAAAAGTCCGGGTGGCCATTCGATTTACCGTCAAAACGCACGGGTGCTTGAAATGCGAAATGTGACCCCGGCTTACAAGACTGAGGTGGACCTAAGTTGGTAAGTACCGACGTTTTTGGCACAACCGTAGTAGTCCCTTGTGTCTCTCTGTATTAAAAAACCCCTTTTAAACCTTTGTAAGCCCTTCTAATCGTCCTGTAACCCGTTGTATACCTCTTTACTCCTTGTAGCCCTCTGTATCCCTCTCTAACCCCTTTAACCCATGAACTGAAAACACTCAAATCGAGTTCAGAAATCGGTCGCTAACATTTGTTTACTCAATGTCGTTTTTTTTTTTTGCTATGGTTTGTTTTGTTCTTCATGTTTATTTGCAGCAAATACGTACAGTGGCTTTTGTTTTAGAGTGGTGTATTATATTTTTGGTTTGGATGTATACATTTACAGTTTTATGACCTTTATGTTTATCATTAGCACAGCTTTCCATTCTTTATTTGACCAACTTTAGCTTAGTTTATTTTGAACGTGAAAAGTCAATACCTGTGTCATATCTTTTCGTGCTGGATATATAAATGCTTTGTGTTAGGAATATTGTTATTGCGTACACTGAAAAATGAGTCTTTTGCTTCGGCTAGTTGTGCTTTCATTGGGACTTGCCCTTTCCGAAGGTAAGCGGAACGCTTCCAAAACCAAGATATTTAAGGACTTATATAAAACTTTTCTTTTCTCTTTCTCTATGTAATTTACTTATGAAAAATCTTGGAAGTCATTTGTAAACATCCGCAATAGTAAACGATCTTGTGTACTAGGCACATGAATGATGAATTATTATAAATAGGTAGGAAATAGAAGAGCACATATTTATTGCAACATTTGCTCTAATTAAAGAGCCTAAAGGGCTCATCTAGAGAGCTTACGCTGACGAAGAGCACACGTATCAACAACTAAATGAGCGCAAAGGAGGAAGTAGCTATCAAATAGTATGTAATTATCGAGTCCTGACTCTCCAGCATTTGTTATTTGTGAAATGCAATTAGATCATAACATTGATGGAAGTATTTTTGTAAATATGAATAGTGTATTTTTAGTGTGTTTTTTGTTGTTAAAACAAGTCTAAGTTGTATATAAATTTAGGAACTAGTAGGCTTTGACAAAGTTGTTCGGTTAGCAAATAAAGTTACAATTAGGCTTTTTATAGAGATTTAGTAAAATCAATGTGGAAAATTAATTACAGGTTTGTACGCTTTAGAGATAGCTTTGACATTAACTTTTAAACACTGTTTTTTTTTCTGTCCGTTGGCCATGGAGAACTTTAATTTAGTAGTTTTAGTTGCCATAATATATTTCATCCTAAATAAAAAATTAGCAATGGAAAAAAAACACACACACACACACAACTTTAACCTACTCATTTAATTGTTGACCTGTTTATTTTGAAAAAAAAGGTTGTGGAAATGGTTGTGGACATCGTCCAGAGGCGAGAATAATAGGGGGCTCAACGGCCTCCCCTCATTCATGGCCTTGGCAACTATCACTGAGGATCATGAATGGTCACTCTTGTGGGGCCTCCCTTATCAGCCCCAGATGGGCCATCACAGCAGCTCACTGTGTGATGAGAAGTAATGACCCTCACGTGTACAGCCTTGTCGCAGGTACGTCTATAGTGGGGCAGCTTAATGCTATAAGAAGGACCCGAAAACATCAGATTTATTAAGGTGAAAAGTACACTTTCTCAGTAGGATTAGACAAATTATATCCGCATAATTCACACCACTCTAGGGAATCCAAGAAAGTCTTAGATTCTGGATTCCACGCCATAGATTTCGAAATCCAGGTACTGGATTTCGGATTCTTTGTGAGTGGAACTTGGATTACGGATTTCAAAGCCCAGGCTTCCAGATTCCACATGCAAAAATTTACCGTATACTAGATTAACTAACAAAAAATGGGTCTAATCATTTCGATCACAATGCCGGCTCGGTATCTAACTGGATTACCCGGCATAATGCGGGCATAATACCCACTCATTTACGTGCAGCTTAACTGAGCACATTTGCAATTATCGTTGTTTTACGGCATTTAAATCGCAAAATACGTGCTCGCTTTTGATAATAAACATGAATAAATATATACCAATTTGCACATTTATAAAAATTATAAATTTATTAATCCTTACTCTCAGTCAAAAGTACAAGGAGATACATTTAAAATAACGCAGCTCTACGAACTAAAAGGCAGAGATGCACCAAAGATAAAGGTTGATTTCAGTTGAGTCTCACACTGCACCAGTGTTGCACAGAATCGCCTCCAAGACGGTCTTTGATTCTGGATTCCAATCGTTAATGGGATTCAGATTACTTGAGCTGTATTCCGGATTCCAAAAGCAAAATTTTCCATGCAGATTCTGGATTCCACAGGCAACTATTTTCTGGATTCCCTTACATGGAGCAAACAGAACCTATCCGATGCGACACTCCACTGATGCGATCGGCACAGCGCAGCTTTGCTTCCTTACAGAAATCGAGCCGAAATTACCGTTGTTTTCAGTTGTGTGAGCAGAAGCCCCGTGGTGTATGGTATATAGTGCAGACCCAAGAGCTATCCATTAGGGGCCGTCGACATATTCACTTTTCCCCCGCTTAACGTCAACTGAACGTTTAGGGGGGCACTTTTAAGGCAGTGGACGTTAGTGCGGGGCATTTTTGGACACAAGCAAACTGATGCATTTTCATACTAAAATTTTACGTCATGTGTGGAACGGCGCTCGTGACATTATTCAATAGAAAGCAGGACCAATTAAAGAAGGGAGTGTAAATTTTGATCTTTTAAACCCTCCCCTTAACTACTAGCAAATGGACCTATTCGGCTAACTCAATGTTGTACCCAATTCAAACCCTTTGGGAATAAACATTTTGTTTCAGGAATTTCCATATCATTTAAATGTGAATGCCACATTATAATGCTAATACAATGCACAAAGAATCTTATCCCCGGGAGATTTGAATTGAGTACAACATTGAGTTAGCCGAATAGGTCTATTGTACATTTTACATTGTGATCTTTCAAACTCTATATTAAAATATGAATTTTCTACCGGCCGTTTTAAAAGCAGTAAATTGTGTTGATGCCGTTGACATCTTCACGCAATTGCGCCAGGGGGGAGTATTCCTTTTGGGGGAGCAGCAAAATTTCAAGTGGACGTTAAGGAGGGGGAGGGAGGGAGGGGGTCTGACCTTAATGTCCAGTTGACGTTAAGCGGGGGAAAAGCGAATATGTCGACAGCCCCTTATAGAGTAAACATAGCCAGTGTTCGACTAACATTCCCTTTATGACTATTTCTATAGGAGCGCACCGCATTGATGGAGATGGTGTCGAATATCGCATCAATAAAATCATCACTCACCCTGCATATGGTGTCGCTTACCACAGGAATGATATTGCATTGTTGAGACTTGTCAAACCTGTAAAACTAGACTCAAAAGTTGGCACCGTCTGTTTTCCACCGAAAGGCTCACGGGTTGCCCCTGGTACTCGATGCTGGATATCAGGTTCTAGTGCTATCAGCGTTAGGTTCAAATCACACAGAGAATACATATACAGATCAGTGTGAAAAATCTTCCTTTGCATTTGCATTTTGGGTTTAAAACCCCAATATTAAGCTACAACTTCACCATACCTGATCTCCATGCATTTTCACACTCCTCCGTAACAGACCCAGTGGAATCTATGTCTTCACTGAGTTCTCGAAGAAAACGTCACAGGGTTGGTCTTTTTTCCACTGGGTTTTTCTTCTTAGCTGTGTACTTCCCATAAAGCGGAAAGGGGTGGCCATAATCTAAGATCTTGTAAGACTAACCCAGCGCACCTCAGAATACCTGTATCACGCACTGTTAGGCACAAACAATCATTTATTCCTAGAGGTGCTAATCTTAACTTAATTTGATATGTATATATAATATGTAGTGTTTTGAATTTTTATTGTAATATTACCGTAATTCTTATCGCCAAAGGTAATAAATAAAGGTTATTATTATTAGCTGGGAAGAAACAAACTTTTCGCCGGGTATCGGGGGGTAGGGGGGTGCCTCAATTATCACTGGGTAGGGTTTCACTGGGTCTGTTACAAAGGGGTGTATTTCCAGTAAAGGCCGAGTTGAAAGAATTTGATAAAAGATCAAGGCATTTACCCTTTGGTGATCATTTTATTAATTCTAATGGCCTTGTTTCTTGATAATGTATTTCGAGAAAATTTGATGTTGCTCACACCTAGGAATTTTTACAGATATCTCGACGCAATCTTAAGATGTATGGTCATAGCGATTTTTCGTACGTTGCACCATGGTTATGGAATTCCCTTTCCGATGATATGAGGAATTGCGAGTCGTTTACCACTTTTAAAACTAAGTTTAATACCTTTCTCTTTAAACCTATTTTTATTTAATATTGTATTATGAAATTATTTGTAATAGAACCTTTTATTGTTAATTAACAGTGTTTTAAGTTGCCTATTTTAAATTTCTGATATTGTAAAGCGATGTTGTATACTTTGTAGCAGGAGCACTATATAAATTATCGAATTATTGAACTTAGGTTGGGGTACAGAGCGCTAAAATAACATAAAGCAAAGTAAATAAATAACGGCACGATTTAGAATAGAGACTAGGATAATTTTTTTTTAAACATTTTTATAAGACGGGGACCGCAACATGATCGTCTTTGACTGGTAAAGAAAATCCATACCTGATATCTCTTTCGTCAACGTGGAAACTGGGGTTTTTGGTTGGTTATTTTCTCTCATAAAGATTCGAGGCATTATATAGAACAGGTGGCAAAGAAGGACGAAACATAGATTGTGAAACAAAAACTAGGAAAACCAATAAGACATCCTATTAATAAGAGAAAAAGGAAAACTTGATGAAGGACGCACATCCTTCAGTCTTGGTCAGGTAACGTGACTCGAATTTGCAATGAAGAAATCAACGAATACAAGGCACAAACAATGACGATAGCTGGATTCACAACCCGCCAACAAACTGACTGGTGGTAAAATATTGGCTACTTGTTACATTAAAACCAATGAAATACCCCTGGAAAGGGTGACAGTTGTTCTGGCTACATAATAAATAGCGCCCTTTGCATATTACAGTGATTAGTTTTTATATAATAAATAGGACATTCCATGGCCGTTTGGAGGTATAGAATTTCTCTTCAAGTGATGAAATTAGATATTTCCGCGAGGTCATGTAATATCCTCTATTTAAATATAATTACAGATCCTAAATTAAAGTGACTCTATTTATTTTTTTGTTTGTTAGCGGTGAACCCCTGGTGTGTGAAGAGAAGGGCAGTTGGATTCTCCGAGGTGTCACTTCGTGGGGTCATGAGAAGTGCAAAACCGATCACTACAACGTATACACTCGTGTCAGCTTCTACATCTCTTGGATTGAGAATCAGATTGCAAGTGAGTCAAGGCATTAAGCCAGTGTTACAAGGTACAAGTTGGGTATCAAACTATATTGAATGTTGAAAATGGCTGTTCAACAAAGTGAATGTTGCTAAATCAGTGAAAATAGAACAGGGCGGGCTCTCGAGTGAACCGAGTCTAACTGGCCTATCGACCAAAATATGGAACAGGCTAAACTTCTTGGAGGGATATAATCATCTAAAATGAAAGTGTTTCATGGCGTAAGGTCCGTTTTTTTAGGTCGGCTCAATTGATTCAGACGCTAAACTTTATTCCTGCGTATGCTATCCGGTTGGTGCATTTGTTTCGGCTCATGCGACGTTCGGCGCCGGAATCAACGCTGGTCCACAGCGGTTATTCCCGACCGAGCCAGGCATGAAAAATGGCTAAGCCGATCCAAATTCAATTAGCCGTTTCAAACTGATATAGACGCCGTACTTCACATGAACTCGATTCGGCTCATGCGAACTAGTACGGCGTCTGAACTGGGCTTAGGGTCGCAGTCCTATTTTTTTTGGTGATCAGATAATACCTTTCTGAGAAACTGCCCACCTACCCCTCCCCCAAGCCAACATTTTGCCCTAAGTGAGAAGCAAGTGTTAATGTTGGCTTAGGGGAGGAATAGGTGGGCAGTTTCCCGGAAACGTATAATGACCCCTACCCTCATCACATGGAATGTAAGATAGAGAGAAGACTACGCGGAAAAATTTCAGGCAAATCGTCTCTCTGAGAATAAAGACACTATCATTCGGGAGAACCAACTCCTCTGATAAATTACGTACCCTTCCAAATTCATCCGGAACTAAGTATGACTAAGACAGCGTAAGAAGAAAGAGGAGGATTAAAACAGTACAAAGGCGACCTTCCAATGAATTGTTTAACCACTCGCCTAATAGTATAGATTTAGGTCCCATCCACACGAATCCGGATATTTTTTAAACTGTATTTTTTTTTTCACACGAATAGACCCTCCGTTCACACCAAACCAATGAATCCACTCTCCAAACTGCATCTTTTTGAAACCGCACTACAAAGAGGTTTAAGGCCCTGTCCACACGGATCAAGGTAAAAAATATGCGGTTTCAAAAATGGCCAGGTCTGTCACGGTGGATGGGTCCTCAGTATTGTATGAAAAAGGACTGGCAACTGGTCGTTACGATGGGAAAAAACAAACAACATGCATTAATTCAAATATGCAGTGCCCTAAAAGTATTCTTACGTTTAAAGTATAATCACTTTGTTCTGTGCGCAGGTGCCGGTGATGGAAATTATGGAAAAGGTAATGAAATTAACTTTCAAATTCCATAGTTTACGTTGCTTAAATGATCAAGGATGAAAACAGGAAGGAGATTTTGCACCAGATATTTAATTAAGGAAAACCTTGTTTTCAGGAAGATGACAGTGCAAACAGAACCCTACAATGCACAGTGAAACAAACTGAGTAGTTCATGTGACAAGTACACGTAGACTGACTTGACTTGAATTTACGTCATAATTCTGAATAGCAGCCATCTGCCACAATTCACGATTTTAACATAGACCATAATGCACCTTCTTTACCCCCCTCCCCCCCCCCAAAAAAAAAAAATTGCATAACCATTGTCTTGGATTTCTCTTGAGACGACTGTAATACCCAGGAGAAATTGGAAACAACGGTTATGAAAATTTTCGGGGGGGGGGGGGTAAAAAAGGAACATCTTGGTTATTGTGAAAGCAGTGGTTGGTTTTACTAACCTCGTTCCAGTTGCGCGGGGTACTTTTTGGGGGAGGGGGAACAGGGCCCTGGAATTTACATTTTCGCTTGAAATGTCCAAAAGGGTGGAACATTGAAATGGGGGGGGGGGGGGGGTAAACAAGGTGCATCATGGTCTATGTGAAAGTAGTGGATGGATTTACTAACCTCGTTCCAGGTTCGCTGGATACTTTCTCGAGGAGGAGGACGTGGGCCCTGGAAATTACATCTTTGCTTGAAAAGTCGAAATGGGATGAGAATTTGAAAAATACCATTTCATTCCACGTTACAAAATTTACAACAAAAACGTTACAAGATATTGAAGATGACCAATCGACTGGACACGCGTTATATCATCAACATGTTATTACCTATTTAATAATTTATTTTAGAATGCAAAGATTAAGTACCTACAGCTTCTTGCTTGGGAAGTGTGACATCTTGCTGGCATTCTGCTATATACTCAAAGTGCGCAAAGACTTGTGGATTCTGCGCCTGTGAGTATTTTAGCTTTCATATCTCCGGGAAACTTTTACTCATCGAACTAAGAAGTATGATTTAGATCAAATGAAAGATATCAGATTTTGGTGCATCAATGATCATAGGCTCATTTTAATGTTAATATAGTTCAATTTTTCCCACAGCTGTTTCAATTTTGTATTTTTTTGTTCCATCTTTTTAAAACCTATTTTCGATTCAGTGTTTACATATCAGTTCACGTATGAGGGACAAAAATTTGTTACTTTAGAGCTAGAGTGATCTCCTTTATTCTAACAAGCTGTCGAAGTAAAAAATTGTTTGGATGCAAGTGAAGGAAGGGGAGAGGAAAATAGGGTTTTGGGTGTCAAAAGGGGAGGGGAGAGAGGGGGAAAGGGCTGAATGAAGCATATGTATTACTATAACTTTTTTTTTTCATTTTCGTAGAATAACAAGAGCTACGGCAAATCGAACATACCGCACAGTAAACATACAGTACCGTAGCCTTCTGAGAGGAATCATTTTTTTGTTAAGTTATAAAGTTGGAAGACATTCCCCCTTGTAATGGTGACCATTAGAATAAAACTGGGAGAAAGAAATCCTTATTTACTCGTTTTATTGTGGTTTTCCAGCGATCCTTCTAGCGACGCATATCTTTTGTTATCCCTATATTAAACCCCTAAGCTATGTGCAAACGGACGCAACAACTCCCAACATTGTTGGGCCAACAATAGTGGGAGTTGTTACGTCCGTGTTGGCAGTAGTGTGCAAACGGACGCAACAACTCCCAACATTTTTGGCCCAAAGATGTCGGGAGTTGTTGCGTCCGTTTGCACGTGGCTAAAAGTCTGACCGGTTTCAAACTTTGCGCAACAACTCTCAACAACACGCAACAAGGTGTGCAAACAGACGCAACATGTAATATCCAACAACGTTGCGTCCGTTTGCACGAGGGCTTTACGTTTAAAAAAAAAAAAAAACCGCTGTCATTTTTAAGCTAAACACATGTGACACAAAGTCAGGTGTTGATAGCTCTTTAGTGTTAAAATTAGAAATTAAATTAAAGGAGACCCTCCAAGCTTAGAGTGCGCTCTACGTCTACCTAATGTCCGGTCTAGTTGATGAACAATAGAAATCCGACAGCGTTTAGTCACGATGGGGTTTGCTCTGCGCATACAAAGTTTTAGCTGTTTGTTCTCATTGTCGTCCTCACACACCCTTGTTTGCTTCACTGATCACACCATGAAAACAATAAGCTCACGGGGAACAATACTGCCACGCGCCTGAGTGTTACCTATTTTATGTATCCTCGGTATTGAGAAAATCTTTCGAAAGAGCATATTTGTAAAGAGAACATATGCATGGCAAACAGATGAAAAATGAATCGGCCTGATTTTTATTTTCATCGTTTGTTCTGGATGATAGAAAGATTAGCTCGATAAAAGCTAGCGTGTCTGCGAGCAGAAGTTTCATCGCCGCTCTTTAAGCTAGACCGGAGAGAAACCTCTGCCATGAACCAAACAAACCTGTTGAGCATGCGCAAGGGTCATAACTATGTGTATGCCTATGATTGGTTAAATGATAGCCCGCCTTGTCAGTAGTCAAACTGCATAACGCGCGCCAAAGGACAAATTACCGCCACATTACCTCGTCTAAACCCTAGCACATGCTCCATATATTTGGAGATCGCTTCGTGTTATAAGTTCAAAGAACGATCAACAAACCTCTGCTCGCAGTGTACTCTTGTTGTTTTCTGAGTAACAGTATTAAAATGCACATAATTAGCTAAAGGTGTGAGATATTCCTCTCATAACTGAGAAGAGTTACCCAGAAATAAAATGTCAACGGATACAGCAATCAGACGTTTACTAGGGCAGCTGCGCTGTCATACACATAGGAGATCCGTGCATACGAGTGTCTAAAAGGGAAACGGGTAAATACTTATTGATGAGGGGGATTGAACCGTTTACTTCACGTTCGGCATTGTGACTTTCAAAAGCTTCAGAATAACTGGCAAATTTTTTTCACAAACAATCATAAACCTTTGCACTTGATGGAACGCGAGTGTCAGCTTTTTAAAAATACATTGAATTTCGCCCCTGATATCATTCACTTTGGCATTAAATATTTCCTCTTTCAACTTTTTAACAGTCCATCTTAGTCCGTATACATATGCGAGCTTACAAATGTCAGACGATAGAGTTTTTCGTCAACCATTCGTTAGCACAGGCTTGACTGTAATGAGGTCTTGCGGAAAACATGTTTAACGGCGATGTCGAAACATAATAGTCTTCCGGCGTCACTGTTACGCTCTAGCGATATCAACATCATTTTCAAATTAGAGACCTTGAAGGTTTTCGTAAACTATTCCTTTGCGCAGGCTTCACCGTGGTGAGGTCATGCGGAAAAATGTTGAAGAGCGATTTCTAAACATAATAGTCTTCGTAAGTGTTATGCTCCAGCGATTCCAACATCACTTTCCTTCCTCCCTAAAACGGCTTTCCACTTGGTTGAATCTTGAAGAATCACCGCGTTCGTGCAAATGTGACTCCTCTAGAGAGAGACAAAATGTCGGAAAATTAGGCATAAATAATTCCGGTTCAGTTTCCGCTTCAAAGTTCATCTCAGGACTATAACCTCGCTGATATTCTATGAGGCTTACACCAGACGCACTAGAGTCGCGTTCAGTGGTGAATCCCTCTTGCATTGACGGAGGAGAGTTAGTCGACTTTCGCTGGTCCCTCGAGCCGGATCCAAAACCAATATCACTCTCCAATGATACATCATCATCTGTAAATTCTATTGTTGGGCTATAGCTTCTTCGAACTTCAAAGTACCTCACGCCCGATTTTTCTGCGTAGTCGTGTCTGGTAAACACAGAATCAAATGTCCTGGGCGAAGCGTGTAGTGACTCGTCAGGGTCGTTTTCGATCGTAATTTCCCTCTCCCTTTGACATTCTATCTGATGATCCATTAGTCTGTCAGAAGGGCAGAGTTCTCCGCATATCTCACAAGGCAACGCTACAATGATGATGCTTTCTCTCGCTGCCTTGGCACGTGTTTCGCTGACTCGATCAACCCTTCGATCTGCCTCGTCGAATTCTTCCTTCGCTCTTTCCTCTCTTATTTCATCTCTCTCTTGTGTTTCAAATAAAACACTCCCTCGGTTTCCGTTCGGATTGTTTGTGGATTGTCGAAGACCTTCGCCGTTATATTCTTTACGCATGAAATTTTCATCAACCAGGCCACCTTGCTGAAGACACTTTCTCTGATGCCAAACAAGCTCATGAGCTGGCACAAGCATTTTGCAAAACTCGCATGGGAGAGTAGTATTATCGCCTTCACAAAATTTTCTATGATAATCAAAATCTTTAACAATCACATGATCACCACAGCTCTTGCAAATAGCCGTTTTCGAGCCGCAATAATTTTCATGATCATTTGCAATTTCTCTTGGCAACACAATTTCGCAAAATCTACAGTGAACGAACTGTTTTGTGCACTCGTACACAAGATGATGCTCTTCGTCAGCTTTACGTATTTTCTCACCGCATTTAGGACATTTGATACTGTGGCGAAAAGCTTCAAAACGAACTTTCTGCTTTTTCATTGTCACACTTGCTTAGGCGAAGTTTATCTCAATGTGATGCTTTGAAGAATCTTTACACTCAGGCGCTTCTTACAGAAAGGTTCTGCCAGAACCCGATTATTTTTCCTCTTTCTTGGCAGGTGCAAAGTGCTCTGACAACAAACAGTTAATGCATTTTAGAGGCTCTTCGCGGATAACATTTGCGCATACGAGATGCCTCAATTGAAGTAGAATATTAAAAAATTTGGCTTTATCAGCGTAAGGTCCAGTATAATAAAAATATGGGTTACTCTTCAAGTGCTTTATATTCGATATCGGCTTCGAAATTCAATCATGAATATTTCGATCACTTTGTAAATACTTAAATTGTTTCCTTCCATTATTAGTTACATCACTATCCACTCATCCCCTGTTTTTGAGGAAACGGAAAATATACTTACGAGGTTATTTGTCGAACAACGGCGAGAAAGTCAGACTTTAGTAGAACATAATACATCGTTTAAATTTTCTGTAGACTTCCCTTCACAAACGATATACTTTATTTTACACAAAGAAATATAAATAACTATGTACAATTCATCAAAAGGTAATTGCAGATCTCAATATAATTTGATGCAAACCGATATCAATAGGTCCCCGAGAATCGTGCCATTTTACAACCCATTAAGAAAATACCGAAGGCCAGCCGCGATCTAATATTCTAACGCGTTCTCACTTACTATTACGTAGAATTACGTATAGTATAAAGTGGAAAACAAGGCAAAATTTATAAAATAAGTAATTACTGTACATTAACACGTTTTCTCTTTTATTTCATCAAGAATAACTAGTTTCTTTTTGTAGAACACTGGGACCGCTTTTCCGTTTTGAAAAAAAGACGTTTTTCTGTTCTTTCTTTTTTGTTGAGAAAGACAGTAAAAAAAAACTAAAAAGCATTGCTGGCGAAGCATCAACGTTTGAACATTGTAAACGACATATTATGGCTTTGAGGCACCTTACTCGTTTCCTTTACCGCAAAAAGTCCCTCATGTGACCACAGTCAAACGAAAGAAAAATAGCCTACATCCCCATTAAACTCCACCCCACTACGGGTACACTTAATTCAAGTACCTTTTAGGGGGTGGGGGAGGGGTTTCCCCATTCAGAGAAATGCAGTGCTGCAGTTCTCCTCTTTTTGACGCGGAAAGTGACTGTCAGACGTGGAGCCGGATTTCAGAGATATGAGAAAGTCAATAAGAGCACAGGTAGTCCTTAATCCTTGACTAGACTGTGGTTTATTAATTTGATCTTATTTTTTATATATATTTAAACAGAACTTCTCTATGGGTATCACGGGTTTTTACGGATATGCCCCTATTTTTGAGTTCTGATCCAACGTGGTGTTACTATGCTTTGATAAAAATAAAACAAAAATAGCACTGAAATGAAGAAAAGACCTTCGTGTCAAAGCATAGAAAATACACTGTTGGAGTCACTTAAGCTTCTGTCCAGTCTAGGTTTCTTGGATGCTGGCTGTTCTATTACGGAATTAGTTCGCTGGATTTTCTGCGGAAGAAAATAAGGACGTTTTTTAAAACCTAAGATTTGGACCTCTTGTAATTGAGCGCGGGTTGACAAGCAAGGTTGTAACCGGTGTGAGCTTTGTTCCGGTATTAGCTTAGCTAACGATATTCAACATAAAAAGGAAAAAGGGAGTCATTTCAATATCCTTCATTACGGAGCTGTAGGGAAATTTTTTGCCAGCTTGCTTGTGTAAATGCGGAATTAACACAAAGCCACGTTCGATTTAAAAAGTGAATGTGCGGGCTGCTTTAATATCACAGTGCGCGATTTTTTCAAAAGCTAAATTGCACAAGACACCATAAGAAAAAGCAAAATTTTGTCGTCATTGTGTCCAAAATTTAACGCTGTAGTCGTGCAGTGTGAGGGTAAAGAAATGCGTCAAAAAGCGCGACTTGCAGTGTTCAGTGCTGTTTTGCACTTTTGTTGTTGTTGTAGTTGATACCGATGTCGAACTTGCGCATAGTTTCTTGACCCTAACATCCCCAACAGCTCGCTACTTCAGGAATATTCTTTACAGAAAGGAAAATTATTTTGCACCGGTGGTTCTTACCTTTGCGTTTGAGTTGGTCTTGCCTTGTGGTGAAACTGTCTGGAACACAAATCCTCGCGTTGTACCTGACGCATTTGGTGTGTTGGACGTTAGGGAAGACAGGCGTGACAGTGTGGTCTTGTTGTGCTTCAGGAATGATCCTTTAAACGACTGAAAGAAAATAAATGAGCGAATCAAAGAAATTTCCCCAATTTTATTGGCTTACAGCAGGGGTATTTCAGCTTAATTTGAAATACCTACATGTGAAAATTACAAAAGCTTTGCGGGGAGTAGAATAAACAAATAATAGCATGATTTGTACGTGATTTTTGGCATAAATACCCCTTTTGATATTTCAAAATTGTCTCAAATTTCACTTGTATAACAATTTCGAAATATCACTCGTGGTATTTATGCCAAATATCACTACAAATCATGCTATTACCTATACAAATACAGTGACTGACTGAACTGAATAAATGGATAATTGAATCTGATCCACATTGCGTGGCTTAAGATTTAAATCAGTAAATGATAATTTTTCAGCTAAGTGTGGCTTTTTTTCCTCCAAAATTTTGCATAAGTATTGTTTTCAATTTTTCTTGGGACTTACAATCGTCCCAACAGAAATAAATGCAAACTTTTGGAGGGAAAGATGTAGCCATTCATATAGCAGCCTACGAGCGAGCCTCCTTTTGTCAAGTAGGCAGAAGAAAAGGAGGGGAGGCTCTGCCTGAATCACGTCAATCCTTTGAAGTCGCCGAAGTCCGAACTTTTGGACTAGTAAATCTTGCTTTCTCTCGTCAAACTGGTTTACGGAGTGCGAGCATCTGTTTACTGATAAACCGACGATCATAACTGAGCTCGCTGTACTAAGCGCACGGCTACTGGACCTGAGTTCAAATTTTTTCAAGATTTCAAGAGTTTCAAGATTCTTCTCGATTCATGCAGAGTCTTTATCGACCACCCCAAAATCAAGCAAGCGAAAGAAGCTATCGAGCGGTGCACTTAGGTGACAACGCATTTCTGTTGAACGTTGGTGGTTAAAGCTGCCATGTCCTTCAAATCCACTCACCGTCTTTTTCTTCAACACTGGTGCAACACTGTTCTTTGGATTGACGATTGCCTGAGGCTTACTTGGAGCTGTAGGGGAAACGAGAAGTACATATGAAAGACAAAACAAGGTGAATAGAAAAGAAAAGGAAGTAAACGTGCCATGACCGACCAATCAGTTCTCACCGTAGGGTTTTCAATGATTCTTAGGACAACTTTGAAAAGAAAATTGAGAGCTTTTGATACCATGTCGGGTCAAACACTCGCAACGTTTCTTCATCATTTAGAAATAATTATAATAATTAGCAATTATTGGATTCAGCTTTCGTATCACTATGATATTAAAGAATTTTGCAGATAGAGATGGGCGTTATCCACTGATACGACAGACAGTAACCGGTCCAGTGGTATGTATTTGTTTAAAGTATTAACCAAATCACTATATAGCAATTTTGCACTTTTTGATTAGCGCCCTTATTTTCAAAAACTACATCAGGTCTTCGTTGTTTGGGAACAAAATTTTGAATCGTTTCCGGACAGTTTCGGAAGGCGGAATCTTGGCGATAAATGAAGCAGGTGTATCAACATTTACCCAGAAAGAGACGAAATTTGGCTTGTCGGTATTTACTGGTAAGGAGAAAACATTTTCTTATTGAATTTGCGACTATTAAAAAATTCACTTTGTGAACACAGTCAATAAAAACGTAAACAAAGCTCTTACAAAGTGAGGTCTTAATATATGAAAAAAAATTCTTTTCCATTTTATTGAAATAATTGGGTAAATACTAAAACAAAAATCCCTTTCAACGAGTTCTTCTATTTCGTCTACTCATAACGACGCATGAAATCTAACGCCATTTTCTCCAGCTCTGCTATGCTATCTTCCAATTATGGCCAGCCACAGCTGGTTATGAAGAATTAGCCGCGGGATTACGCCGATCCGAAACGGTGAAATGTTTGAATGGATAATAACAATTTTTATGACCACAAACGAAAATAAATTACATTGAGATTGTGTGAGCAAAATAGGTTGAAATACTTTAACTGCCCTTACCATCTGGTAACTGACTGCTTGTATCTTTAATTTTGCTCAGAATATTTTGGCTGCTTTCATCGAGGTCCAGTACATCAGGCCTTTGCTTGTCCTGTTGAAGAAAAGACAAACTTCGAGTTTAACTTTACTGAAAAAAGGAACGGGAAAATTGCAAACCACAATGTTGCAAGCCGTTTTGGCGACGACAAATCACTTGCAGAACATCATTCACAGATGATGCACATGGACATTTAACAGCGAATATGAAACAGGGTCATTAGTGTAGCCATTGAAGTGGAACAGTAGGTTATTATCGCATCCTAATCTGGTGTTCCTGTGGCACAAAGGCAGAAATTTTCGAGCTATCACAAGCGACTGCCGATTAGCCGCCCCTATTAATTTTATCAGGGGCATCTCGGCCGCAGGAAACTGGACTCGTTTTCGTTTCCTTTAGTCTCATTTTCGTGCAGATGTCTTGCTCGTAGAATAAGACGAACGCGGATCCATAATCAATGATTATTACTAGTTTGTAATAAAGTCAACTCTCTCCAATCCGACCCTAACTGTCCCTCTTAAAGAGGTATCCGGCTTATAGAGAGTTAAGGAAACGACACACCAGTAATAGGAAGAAAATAACACTGAACTCATTGGCAATAAATATACGTCTGTTTTACTGCTGCAGAACAGTTAAAGTGGAACAATTTCAAGTAAGATTGGAATCAATTTTGCTAATGAGCAATCAAACGTTCATCAAAAGCAAACTTCTACGGCTTAGTGGTCTAAACACGAAACAGTATACACTCTTCAAACTAGAAAAATACTAAAACAATATCCTGTTCAAAACAATGAAAAAGTGCATTACAGTAGACCTTTTTACCGATACGGCGGCCATATTGAATTTATTAGAGTTAAGGAGTATTACGGGATGCCCAGGGGGCACTCGCTCCGTATTTACGCGCGTTTTTCGGGCAAAAAGACAACTTCATTGTATAATTCTCGAGAAAAAGGCGATCATTATCAAATCTAAACACGGCACAACGATCTTTTTCCCCATTACAATCTTTTTCTGGGAAAATAAAAGCGCGCTTAAATACTGAGCGAGTATATCGGATCGTGCTTATGAACCCTGGGCATCCCATAATACTCCTTAAATCTAATTAATTCAATATGGCTGCCGTATCGATAAAAGGTCTATTAAAATGGTTTTACTTTACACCTTTTCCTCCCTGAGGAAAGCTTCTCTTTCGTATCTTTCCTTTCGTCGCTGAATTTCTTCATCAGTACTTAGTTCAATAGCAGTGCCATCTTCATCGTTCCAAAAATCTTTGTTGCCAAAAAGTCCGAACTGTGAATTTTCGTCAATTCCTCGCCACCGGAAATGTCTCGTGCGACCCTGTCCATCTGTGTACAGGTCTCCATCAGGTAGGAACATTTCTTTCACCGCTCGCAGGTCGGCATTGTCCTGGTCATGAATTGATTTCCTAGTAAAGTAAGATACATAAAGGTAAAGGCGCACATGGGCCAAAGGCCCACAAGGCCGGAGCTTATCCCGGTTTTCTTAGCTTGAAGCATACCTAGGAATATTGCTACTCTCCCCTGGACGAGATGCTAGTCCATCGCAGGGTTACCCCCAGCAGTTTGTCGGCGGTACCGATTTAAACACCCGGGTGAAGAGACACAAAGTGGAGTAAAGTTCCTTGTCTAAGGAAACAACATGACGGGCGAGACTTGAACCCCGGACCTGCAGATCCAGAGTCCGAGGTGTTAACCGCGCGGCCACACACGCCTCCACAAAGTAAGATACATAAAACATAGTGAAGCAGGGTTTTTGATAAGATTTTAAGTATGTGGCAAAAACTTTGCAGTAGGTGGAGAAGGAAAGCCTAAAGCCAAATTCAAAGCCTAGCTTTGAATTTGTTCAAGAATTATTAAAAGGCTGTAACAACCACTCTACCGAGTGTTTCTTCCGATATCCAGACACCTCATGGTCAGTCTTTAAAATCTCGGCGACGCCTCGTCTGTCAAACCACTTCTCGGTATCTGGATATCAGATAACACACCGCGTGTAGTGTTTGATAAATTACACGAAAACTCCAAACAGAAAAGGCTTTAGGCTCACAGTCGTAAGTGAAAGCTCGAATTTTTGTTGTTACTAAACGTTCTTTATTATCATTAGTGTCCAGTGGTATTTAATGTACTGTTCAAAAAACGAGCAGGAGCGTATTAACAGGTTTAAAAATTCGAGGGAAAGCCGAGAGTTTTTACACCTGATAATACACTCCTGCGAGTTTTTTGAACGCCTTCAAAATCTCTGATATAGATCAACTCATTTTTACCTTAATATTTAGACTTGGGGTTATTTTGCTCGAAAAACCTGGACGTAAAGTTTAGCCGTGTCTTTATCAGATATAGAGATACTCATTAAACATTAATTTCTTTTGTTTTTTCTTTATGAATTATAAATGCCTTTTTGAACTATCACTTACATGTGAACTTTGTTGATCTGTTTTTGAAGTTCCTCGCCTGACGGCAACTCCTCAGCATCAGAATCTTCTTCCAACAAGTCATCATCAGTAGCGATATCTTCATCTGCATCAGAGCCCACATCACTCCCTGACAGTTCTGCCTCTTCCTCCAGGAAGTTCCTCTTATCGAAAATGCTGTGAATTACAAACAATGAATGGAAATTAAATCCGCAACGCCTCATAAATGCGAATCTGGCTTTTTCTACAAGGGAGTTAATAAACGAGTCACTGACTGGAAACTATTTATTATTGTATAATCTCAAGCCACAAGCAGAAGCAGTCACAAATGAAGACACCAGATGTTTCGTAACACGATGAACCAATATTTCGGCTGCATTCAACTGCCTTCATAAGGGTTATAAAAGCGGTGAAAATTGTATAATGTCAGAGGAAGAACAGAAATTTTCACATTGGAAACTGCTATCGGGGCTTGATCTTAGGTCTTGACAAGAAACATGGAGGTACATTTTTATCCCTCGCGAGGTTGGGTTTATAAAATTCGTCCGGCGCGAAGCGCGTGGATCTTAACGGCCAGTAAAATGGGTGCACTAATGATCATTCATCATCATCACCATCATCATCATCATCGTCGTCGTCATCGTCATCGTCGTCGTCGTCGTCGTCGTCGTCGACGGAGTCGTCGTCGTGTCGTCGTCATCATCACCATCATCTTCTGTTGGATCTCTCACTCTACTTTTACTCAAATTTGGTGATTTTGTAGATCAGAAGAAATGTATAGAATAGAGAAGATGGAAACTGCGGAAATACAAATTTACACGAAGATACGATCATCGCCGTGTAATGGGTTCAAAATCCGTTGAAGCCCCGATATATATTTCGGGTTAATTTGCAATTGCTAAAATTGCTATTACAGTGCCACGATCATATCTTCATTTTGAAAACGAGAAGCAATCCATTTCGTAAAAACTACGTATCTTTCCACCTACCTTTTTTTCTTTGTCTCATATTTCTTCCCATATTTCCGTTTTATCATCAATTCTTCAAGATCACTCTCGTCTTCTACATCGCTTTTTTCTCCAATCTTATCGTCTTCGTCCTCATCACCAACATCACTAGGACCTTTGTTCTCTTCTTCATCCAACTCAGATTCAGAATCATTTTCCATTTCCTCTCCACCATCAGCTCCAAGATCATTTTCGTCGTCAGTAAACCTTCCTGAGCACAAATCCAACAGTTCGTTCATATTCCCATTCGTTTCTTGAGTGTCAAATATTGCCTTTTTTTCCTGTTTCTTTCTTTCAGTATTACTGTCACTGGCCTTTGGTGTTCCTGTGTCTTCACTGTCGCTAAATCTTCCAGAACACAAACCAAGCAGTTCCTTCATGGGCGGCTGGGTGCTGCTGTTTGCGTTGTCGTCATCTTTGAAGAGCCTCTTTGTTTTAGTTTTACTCTTTTTCGTGGAGTTTATGAAGCTGAATGGGAGAAAGTTGGTGTTAAATTGCATGAAGGTGATTAATGTTAACAATCAATCAGGCAAAATTAATCCAATGTGGTTTCCATGAAGGAGAATGCATCATAATCTCGGCTTTTAAAAGGACAAAATACCATGGTACTGATGGGGAATGCCGCATGCCTCCAATTTTACTTTTCAGGGGCACGGCGTTATTTTTTGACAAGGAAAAGAACATTGATGATCTTTCATCATCAGTTGTGATAACTCTTTGGTCTGGGGAAACCTGTTTATTCCTATGAATTCATCCCACACGCCACCTTCCGGACTGGGGAATAGACTTGAAAATTCCTTGTGTAAATCGCCGCTCTAACCCAACGTTAAAGGGGTTATGTCACCAGGATGTTGCTGCTTTAGGTCAATGCTGTGCTATAGTCATTAGTTACCCATAAACAAAATGCTCCTATAAAGTTATGATGAACATATCAAACAAGTTTCATCAGGAACCACTAATCATAATAACGTTTTGGTCTTTTTGCGCGCATAGCATAAAAACTTGAAAAAACTGGCCGACTTCAATCCATGTCCATCCTTGCCATCCATATCAACAGACGACAGGAAATAGTTTTAATGCCTAAATATAGCCTTAAATAAGAAAACTGGACCATTATTTTGGAATTTACGACAACTGATGGGAAGACACATTTTTAAGCTTTCATAAAAAGATAGGAAATAGCGTGACTCTGAAGCCTCTTTAACGCTACCGAACCTGCTGGTAAATTTTTTTTCCTTTCTAGAGGGAGTTTCTCTCGTGTCGTTAATTTGAAAAAAATTGTAATTGCCAACATTTTTATGGGATTTTATCCCCCGCCTCTCCACATCTGTATTTAGCACAGGTCTCTTGATTCCAAGGCATCTAAGCTTATTGAACCTCCTTACATCTTACCCTTCAGCCTGTGCTAGGCTCTGAGATGGTAAGGACGTCGTAAAAATAAGGCCAATGGAAAAAAGGACGCGCATGATTCCCAAAGGTGAGCGGCAGGGGGAAAAGAAAGACCGCATTGTCTCTTCGCAGTCCCCGCGCGTTTTTCGCATCAGTTTTCACGTTCTCTGCAAATACTCAGTCTCGTACCCAGACCAATTCGCTCTATCCGAGTGAGCATAGGAGGCTTAGAAGCGAGCGCCACCTTGGCGAATTTCCTGACAAGCTTGACAGGTGACGTCGCATCCAAAATCGCCGAGGACGACTGGGGACGAAGCTGCGCATTACTGCATTTTTAGCCTGGAACGGGCTACTTACCCTTGTGTGTTCAGTATCTGTGTAAACTGAGTGTCCTCGTCAAGAGTGAAGTGAAAATCACTTGACGTGGCGTCTGTTGTATTTATGTCCTGTTTTGAGGTCTCTTCTGCTGCTCGGGCACTAGCGTCATCAAAGAGATCCTATAGGAATCAAAGTGTATTAATTTTTTAGCGCTTTCGATGCAGTGTTAATTCAAGGGCGGCGTATAAGTATGTGTAATCAAATGGTGACGAGTTTAAAGGCTCGGGAAATTATTAGGATTTGGAAAAAACGCGCGTCAAATTATTCCCTAATTTCACGAGTATACCATTTGATTACCCCTTAATATCGTGGGTGACGAATTACGTTTGTTATCGTGGATTTTTGACATGTTTATCCTGGTTTTATCGTGTCGATCTCAAATGTTTAGAGCTTAAATTTGGCTTAACTTCAGAATTTTCAGAATTTTTTTGACAAAATGTGTGTTTAGGTTTTCTGAAGCGTCTTTCAATGCCTTGACATCTTCATATACTTTGAAACTTCGTCGCTATCTTAGCACTGACACTTACCTTTGTACGGAAGGTTGCAATTCGGCAACGGCAATTTTGTAATTATAGAAAACGCTGAAATTGCGCGCCAAAATTAAGGACAGTGTTCGTACAGATTTTTTTCTTCCAGAATTGAAGACTTTTTCCGGACTTTTTCTTATTCCAGACTCAAGGTTATCAAATAGGTGATCAATATAGACCTTGAAAAACGCAGGAAGGTTTTTTTATGGTGTGCTACAAAGATTTTACCAAAAGGAAAAAAAATCATTTCAATTGTTTTCTTGAAAAACGACTCAAGACTTTCTTTCTTTCCAGACTTTGTCTCCATTTTCCAGACTTTTTCTAGCTCTGGAAAATTGTTGGGCAAATTTCAGCACTTTTTCAAGAATTCAAGACTCTGTACGAACCCTGTAAGGAGTAATTCGACACCCATGAAACTATATCTTAAATCCCTGACAAAAATTATGTTTAGTCACTTGTAAATATTATCTAAAATAAATAAAAAAGAATCTCAAAGCTGCATAGTCTCGCTTTCTTGCTGAGCTAGAATCATAATTATTTAGATGGTGTTGATTACCGGGTGATACTGTGGTTGCTGTATTTTTTCTTATAATCCTCGCATAAACAGCGCAATCTTCTGATTGGATGCGGAGTTTAAGATGAAAAGTATGTTATTCACACTCTTCCTTCCTTTCTAAGCTCTCAGGTTACATTTTAACAGTGGGTTAGACTTTATTCGAACATTTGTTATCTCCCATTCGCATTTACGAAGTTCCTGTCAATGCGGACAGTTTCATATAATGACGCACAATAGACACAATACCTGCGAATCCTCAATTGGAAGAGTGAGCTGAGATAATTTACCAGGCTGAAAAAAAAAATCAAATTAACAGATATAATTTCAAAAATAAATACGTAATAAATACTTGATCAACAGGCTGAAATTATGGCCTCAAAACACACAAAGACAAATCCAGACGCCACGAATAGAAGTACATTGTGTTGTATTATCATTTTCTTACAAATTGAAAGGACGTTTTTCAAGTATGCAATCTAGCTTTGCCAGTTTTACATCTGGGCTCCCTTTCTATTTCTCACTGTTTTGTTCTCCACAGTATTACATTAAAGTTGTTATTATTTGCAAGACCTTAAATGGACTTAAACTGAAAAGGAGAGAAGAAAAACCGAAAGGCGCGGAAAACTGCAAGGCCACAAACCGTTATATCTGCATACCTTTTTTGTTGAATTTAAAACGCCATCGCTATTCATGCCGATCAGGTTCCTCAGTCTTGAATAAGATGAAAACAACTCCGGAGTTTTCTTACCGGAATGCAGCTCATTATTTCCCTGGGCATTACCTCCCCCTTGCCCAGGGGGAATTCTGCTACTGTCGCTACTCGCTTCAAGACTATTGGCACTCTCACCAAATTCCGAACCCAACAATCCTCCAAAACTTGACTGACTAGATTCCTGCGACACCTCGGAAATGTTTGTCAGCGACTTATCAACTTTGAAATCGATTTTTGTCCTGGTATTCGAAGACATAGGGAGGCTAGGAAAATTGAAATTAGACTCATCACCATCTTCTACGCTATCGAGACGAAGACAAAGGCTGGCTGTGCTGTCTTCACTGTCTCTTTCCGCGTTGCTAATCTTTGGCATAGAATCATTGCTCTCCCCTTTAGCATCAGATCGAGATCTGCTATCGCCAAAAAGATCCATGGTTTTATCATCCACATTGAAGTTTGGCAATTTAGATTTGTTATGCTTCTTTTTTGATTTAAGCTTTGCTGTTGGCTTCGACAAACCATCGTCGCTAAATACAGTCTTCTCCTCCGTACTGTGGTCGTCGCTTTCGTCTCCATCGCTGATATCCCCTTCTGAGCCAGAATCAATGTCATGGACAGCAATGTCATTGTCATTATCGCTTTCATCCGCCTCATCATCTATAAAAGCATTTTTATCTTTTGCTTCATCCTCAAGATCGCTTTCTCCTTCTTCCTGTTTTCTTTCATCGTCTTCGTTCCATTTGTCAAGCTCATAATCAGAATCGTCTGTAAAAAGTAGAGAATTAAAGAGGAGAAACTGAAAACTTCGCAGCGCAAATAAATAATAATAATGATGATGATGATGATGATGATGATGATGATAATGAGATCACAGTGATGATGAGGATGATGATTATAAGATGATGATGACGATGACGATTATGATAGCGGAGCTCAACGCGCGCGCGAGCGTAGCCCCATACCTAGGAAAATGTGGTAATCTACCCATCCGAGAAATTTTGGTAATCACGTGACCGTACGGCAAACCAACCGTCCGTCCACACCACAGGCATACCAATGTAAAATAAGTCAATCAAAAGGGATGTCAATCCAAATGCAACTCGAGGTTATTTTGGCGGGAAATCGCATGGCCACCCGCGTCCTGACAACCAAAGAGTCAATAAAGACGAAAACGAAAAGCGGAAATTGTTTCTGTATACGTGTTGTGTAAAGTATTAAGCTTAGATTAATTTTCATGTCCACAGATTTGGAATATAGAGAAAGAGAAAGACAGAGAAAAAGAGAAAATAGGTGACAGGCCAGCGAAGCTCAACGAGAAAAAGAACGACAGACAGCCACAGCAAGAGATAAAAAAATGGAGACGTTTTTTGTTGGAAGAACAACATGAAAATATTGTAGCGACGGTAAGAAACTGAGAAATGCTAGTGGCCACCAAGGTGAAAATGGGCGGCAGAGAGAAAAAAGCGACATTTACTCCATTAAACGTGTAACTAGGAAGTTTCACGTTGTACACATGTAGTCGTGCAAAACAACGGTAAAGAAATGTACAAAAAAAAATGCCCTGCGCGTGCAAAGTTGCTTTTTTGCAAATCACACCTATTGTTGTTTTTTCACCGTTCTCGTTGCCTTTCCCGCTTCACATTACACGACTTTACATTTTGTTTGGGCAAATTAAACTATAAATATGATCCAGAACTTTGCTCTTAGCCCTAGCTAAATCTACTGCTGGTTTTCAGTGTCAAGCCATTCAAAATAGATCAAAATAAAAATCAAAACCATTCGACAGAAAAAGTCCAGAATCTGGGAAATGAAAGGAGGTAAATAAACAAAGACACTCGCCAAGATTTGGGTCGAAGGAATAATTCGTATACGAGATATCCGAGGAAATGTTTTACCCAAATTTATGGAGCTTTGTATGGCGACGCCATGCTGGAGCTCATCCGGATGAGGTCCAACATGGCGGACGGAAACCAACAGAAAGATCTGTTACCGAGTTTTGCTACAAAAGCGTGAATTTACTCCCCGAGGAACTTATAAACATTAAAGTAATACTTTTTTCTAATACTTGAACTGATTAGATAGCAAAATTCCTCGAAAAAAGTCGCTTTATAAACCTAAATGACAGCTCTCTCTCGGCTGTCATGTAAATGCTGCGTCACGCAAAAGCTTAGAAATTCAAGCGTACTCTATTACAAAACCAAAATTTGTTTGAAAATTAGTTTTCAGCTGCTCTTATACACCATAGAAGTAAAATCTCCGTAGGATCGATAGTTTTGTGGTTTGAATTTTAGTGACGTCATGTGAAAACCAACAAATCTATATATTAATGATGACAATAATGATGATGGTTATGATGATGATAATGATGACGATGATGATAAGCACTTACAGTGTATGTGTACTATTCCAGTCTGAAATTGCAATCTGCTACAACTAGCCTACAGAACAAGAGTTATTTTCCGCCTACACGCTTGCCTTCGCTAGCCTAAAAAAGGCGAAGATTACAGGGTACCTGAAAGTATTCGACCCTACGACTTTAATTCAAAGACACTAGTCATTTTGAAAGGTGCAGGAAGGGAGGAATTTGTCCCAGTAGTTACCGAGTTAAGTGGCACGAGAAACAAATGTTGCAAACGTACACTCTGCTTTCTGAAAGCAGGGAAATGTTAGGAATTCAAGGAAAAGCAACCTGCTTCCTAGACGGAAATTTTGGTTTGAGCTGCATCAAGAGAAAACTATCAATACCTTAAACGCGTTTTGCAAAGTTAGGGTAAAAAAGCGCCCTTTATGATCATCGGATTATCGGGGATACATCATGTACTTTAATAGACTTTTAAATACGCGAACAAATGGAAAAGGAGCTCAAAATTTAACTTTTTCTTGTGTAGTCGACGTATCGCTCTTCTACCAAAATCTCGGATTAATAAGCCATAAAATGAGTTGTAATTTAATCTTTGACAGAGATAATATAAAGATTATTCATGCCAAACCTTCCTCCTCAGTCATTTCTTCTTCTTCCTCTTCCTCACTAACTTCTTCGTTGTCAAGCTTTCGTTGGCTTTCTTGTATTTTCCTTCTTTCAGCTCGATTAACTTTCATTTTTGCTTGCAGCTGTTCCTTGAGAAGTAAAAGTCTGGTCCCTGGAAATGAGAGACATATCACAACATAATTCAGATGCGGTTAGGTATGGAGGAACAAGGGTGGACCCTGTCAAGCCAAAAATAATGTTTAACTCCATTAAAGGCTTTGCTTTGTTTTGCTTTGCCCTAAATCTATTTACTTGTGAAATCCTATATAGTTGGTCACCCGAGGGGATGAATGGGGGAAGAATGACAGAGCGAATGTGTCAGATCAATCTTTTACAACTTCAGCTGTAAACTGTACAAAATTGGAAAACATTCTTAAAAATAATAAAAACATGATTTACAAGCAGTAGTAAAAAATAGCATAAAAACTTTCTCACTGCTTCATTTTGTCAGAAGTAGGGACAAGCGTTTTTTGGAAATTGAAATTCATAAAACCGTGCAAAATACATTAAAATTAATTGATTATTGGGTAGTTGTAATGGTAGTGGTCAAAACAAGTGTACTCAACAACAATCCTCAATGACTTGGGGTAGCCTGTGTGGGAAGAGGATGGCTGAATACAGGCTAGACTTAGAGTCGAAGGGGTGTACAAGACACCACCTATCTGATGAGCCTGATGGATGCAATTTTTTGGCATAAAAATCTAAGATGAGATAGAAATGTTATTAAAATGTCCCCTGAAAATTGCATTGTCAACTGCACTAGGGCATTAAAGTTCCATACTTTTTTCATTGGGATTAGAGTCAGAGAACTATCAGGGTTCGTACCCTTTTTTGAACAAAAAATTCAAGGACTTTCAAGGACATATTTCCCATTTTTCAAGGAATCCATTTAGTGCAAAAAAGAGCCTTGAGTCTGTGCCTTTTTTATTTCTTCCACAAACATAAGCATTTTTATCCTGAAGGTTTCATATTAGGTACTTGAGAATCTGGGTTGGATAAAGTTAGCACCGAAATTCAAGGAATTTCCAGCACCAACTGCAATTTGCAAGGACATTCAATGCCTTGAATTTTTATTTTAGATTTCAAGCACTTTCAAGGACTTTCAAGGTGCATGCAAATTGTGGACTATGCAAATGAGAGACCATCTTTTCTGGGTGGCTACATGGAGACACCGCCAGTCTTTCTCTAGATTGGGCATTTGATAGGTCCTTGAATTCCTCTGTACAATACTTTCAACCATTTCCCTAATGACTCACCAGGTGTTGCTGTTTTTAACTTGTCTTCAGAAACTATAGGTGTATTTCCAGTAGGTTTGGGTGTGGTTTCACTGGCCTCTGAAAGCACTTCATCTGGTTTACTTTTTTCTTTGTTTAAAGGTTTGACTGGAACTGGGGTTTTCTCCTGAGGCTTTGAAGTATGTTTTAAAAATCTAACAAAATAACAAACATAGCATGACTGTCATTTGTGATATTTTGCAAGTGTCTCCAGAAAATTTTAAAGAAAATTAAGCAAGGTGTCTTAAGTGTTTAATTTTGTAAGCCTGAATACAGTGAAACCCTGCCTTACGGCCACCTCGTTAATACGGTCACCTAGTTGTTACGGCACTTTTTTGGCCGCCTTGCAAAATGGCCATGCATTTTCTTGTAAAAAAAAACCTTGTTAATATGGTCACCTGTTAATACAACCAATTTATGGGGGGCCATTGGTGATGGTATTAATTAACGAGGTTCCACTGTAGTTAATTCCAGTATCTCTTGAGCGACTGAGGAAAGGTTTTTAACCATGAGAATGGCACCTTAAATTACCCATACACTGTATGTTATTTTTGATAGCAAGTTAACTTTTATCAAGAAGAAGGTTGAGAGACAAATACGATGGATTTGCTATCCACCTTACAAAAAAAAGGCTTCTCTGTGAGTACATGTAGCTTATGCTTTGGAGACAACTACCCAGCGATTTTTGCCAGTTGATGGGTCTTCTGAAAAACACTGTATTTTGACAAGGGACCTCCAAGGCCAGGCTGTGGCTGATGCGCTATATGATAGTCTGTGCTAGCGGCAAAACCCACTGGGCTTGCTCTAGTTTGCAAGCACAGTTTGCCAGCTTTTTGGGAGAAAAGTTGACTAAATTTTGAGTTTGCTCCACACAGCATCAGGCCTGTAAACTGAGGAGACTTCTCAACTTTTTGGCCTGTCTTTTCACACCCTTAAGTACATGTAGCTGTTGTATGAGTGATAGATTGCAGCAAAAAAAAAAAACCTGAACCAAAATAATATTGGGTGATGGTCATGGCACAAAGATGACTGTAGAAAAAATGACTCAGAAACTCAAGAAGTAGTCAAATTCTTACTAAAGAGTACACTCTCCACATAAACTTATAAAAAGGTTTGAGTTGAAACTAAATGGGACTTCGGAAAATGTACAATAATATTCTAAACCCATCTCATATAACTATGGTAAACCCTTTCATTTAAGAAAGCTCATTTCCAGTTTTATATCAGTCCAACAGCACCGCGTAGTGTGCTAATTTGCCATTACAAAATTCCACCCTATAAAAATCCTGATTACCTTTCTCTCAAGCCCCACACTCCACTGTTGACAGGTTTTGATAATGAGGGTGTGTAATCCATATCTAAGAAGAAGGGATCTGTTGCAGCACTCAGTTTGGGTGTGACAGCTTTGAACCTGTTCATTCCATGAACAGCTCCTGTGGGACTTGCAGTGTCACCGGCTGTTGGGCTCAACATTTCTGGCCCTTCTATTTCATTACCCTTGCCTGGTATAGTTTTGTCATCAGGTGACAATTGAAGAATTTCTTTATTCGTAGCTTCTTTAACTGTCTTTGTTGTGGTCCTATTTGAAAGTGGTATTTAAGTGTCAGCAAGAAATATTCACTTTTATATCTTAAACACTGGCAGATTAAGGCTACAACTTTCTGGCAAAAACACTGTGAAAGAAGTCTGTAAACTTCCGTAAATTAAATCAAAATACAAAGCCATCAAAAAATTAATACCAAACTTTCTTCAATACAAGTTGCATCAAAGAAGTAAACATGCACATTAACCTCTTTTAGTAAGGCTGCTGAGTTACAGTAAATCACTGAGAGGTGATATGGTGAACATGTCTCATTAACATCATCCAGGGCTGTGACTTACATGTACACTGTGTACAATGTAGGGTTGGGTGCCGGGAATTTCTCCCAACAACGAGGAGTATGACCCTTGACTACTTTCATAGGAAAATATAACCAATAGAAATCCCTAGCTGTTTTCTACTTGTATTAACCTGGCAAAATGAATCCTTATTGACAGCCCTGATTGTTACTTGGTACATTCACTGAATCAAACAGTAAGCTTTTTCCTAACTGTATTTTTGACACAGGGTGTGTCTCGTTTTGCAACAATGATTGCATGAATTTCAATGCCTTGTCAAAATTACCTTTCAGCCTTTTTCTTTTCTGTGAGTGGTACTCTCTTCAGAAAGTGTGTTATGGGAAGAACTGTCGGCTGGTGGTAAGGTAACCGGACTGTTGATTCTGAGAACATTTGGAGAAAAAAGTAATAATGTATAAATTATTTTGATGCACTTTCATAGCTGAACAGGTGCTACATTAACCCAAGTGAAGGAACCAAGGCTGAGTTGTCAGCAAGTTGGACTCGAACTCTGCTACACTGTATCTTGGGTTTGCATCCATTCTAGTGTGCATTGTGTTTAAAATAATCACTATTACATTTTTCAGTGAGAAACTACTTAATTTTTGCAACTACTACATGCTGAAACATCTAGCAATTGTTTGCACAAAACAGTCATTGTACATGGTGTAATTTGTATAGGTAACTTGCAGAGTAATATTTGTTACAGGTCAAAATTCAATTGAGGATAAAATTTTTTAACCGACATGAAGGTTGATTCTTTCCTTTGTATCCTAGCCTTTATTCATGAACAATTAGGGTAGGGGACAAAGGAAACAGATAACCCTTGAAGCCCCAATATCCACATACAAATTCTCCAAACTGATCTCTATACATTTCCTTAAAGAATGAGTTGAGAGAATTTGATAAAAGATCAAGGTATTTTTTCTTTGGTGATCATTTTATAAACTCTCATAACCTTTTCTCTTGCCAACGTATGGATATCTTTAGGCGAAAATTGATGTTGATC